GATTATTTAGCATAAGTCAATCAATCCATTAATACTTATGTCAAAGTACCATTCATGGTGAAGTGGCTTGCTAGCACTTCTCATGGGAGAGGTGCAACAGGCTGGCCGAGAAGCTTAAGTGGTTCTCACAGAATGTTATAATGATGCATAAATCCATGCTTTTTAGTATCTAGCAAAGATAGGAATTTAAGCTCTGTTGCAGCATGTCTAAAGCAAAATGCAGGACAATGTAGCACTTTAAAGACTAACAAGATGGTTTATTAGATGATGAGCTTTCGTGGGCCAGACCCACTTCCTCAGATCAAATAGTGGAAGAAAATAGTCACAACCATATATACCAAAGGATACAATTAAAAAAAATGAACACATATGAAAAGGACAAATCACAGCTCATCATCTAATAAACCATCTTGTTAGTCTTTAAAGTGCTACATTGTCCTGCATTTTGCTTCAGCTACCCCAGACTAACATGGCTACATTTCTATCACTATTTTGCATGACTATGTTAATGATGACTCGTGATTATTAAATAACAGACTCAATTGGAATTATTGAAGCAAAGATGATCAAGGATTAGTACAATACAGAATAGACACATTACCATCATTTATTGTAAGAACTGGGTCTGTGTTGCTTCTTTGCTGTAACTGGATGGACAAAACAGTTTTCATTTCCCATCTGGGTTCCCACACCATTGTTATTACAGAGGATTTTGACAAAACACCAACCAATCAACCAACCAAACAACCAACCAAACAAACAAACAAACAAAAACCAACCCAAATTCGAACTCTATTTGCCAGAAGAAGTCTATGTTCTGAAATCATTTCTGTGCAATCTCAGTTAACCTAATGTATACTTATGATTCTATGATATGTGAAGTTATTATTATTTACAGCTGAAAGGACAACAAATTCTTAAGGATAACCCAGTGGAAAACAATGAGTAGTCCTGTAGCACCTTAAAGACTAACAAATATAAATATTTGTTATAGCGTCTAAGGCAGGGGTGGGCAAATTCTGGCCCACGGGCCGGATCCGATCTGCAGAGTTAGACCCTGGAGGCCTCCCCCCACCTCCATGTTTACCTGTGCCTCTGCAGGTATAGGAGGATCGCAGCTCTGAATTGCTGTTCACAGCCAATGCAAGTGGCAGGACGCACCACAGACCAGGATACTGCTCGCATTGGCATAGATTATTATATACAGTCTAACACAGAAAATTCCTGAATAGGATTACTTTTTGGACAAGGATCAGTGTTCTGGGCTCTAAAACTCAACATATTCTTAATATAGCAATTCTAAAGAATAGTTAATATATAAATGAATCATAAATACAAAGAAAAAGGAGTACGTGTTAATTTTTACTAACAGATAATAACAGCTCCCAACCATGTCTTTTGAGGGTGTTGTGCTGGTTTCCTTTGAGGATGGAGGCTTTGGGGTCAGATATAGAGTAATTACTTTGTGAAAGTGTTAATCCACAAGTGATACTATGTGTGTTTATTTTTTTATTATTTTTCTGTGTGAGTTGATTTGACAATGACAGCACTTAGTATGTTTTTAGTAGGACTCAAGAATTACACCCAGGAGTTCAAAGTGCTATTAGAAATCTGTTGGATTACAATAATCTTGTCAAATAGCTCTGGATTATATAACTTGTCTAGCTATGAAACTTTTTGTAGCTTGACTATTTCCAGCAGTAAGTGACTATGGATAGGGGAACACTTTGTATCATCCTGTTGCTCCATTACACTTTCTCTTCCTGGTCCTATGTCTTTCTCTGTTCTTGTTATATGTAGTTAGGAATTTACGTGGCCCATAGGTTGGTCACTTCACCCATACAATTCAGCTGCTGGACTCCAAGGCTATGTCTAGACTGCAAGCCTCTTTCGAAAGAGGCTTTTTCGAAAGATACTTTCGAAAAAGCCTCTTTCAAAAAAGAGCGTCTAGACTGCAAAGCAGTACTTTCGAAAAAGCAAGCCGCTTTTTTGAAAGAGAGCACCCAGGCAGTCTGGATGCTCTCTTTCGAAAAAGCCCTGTTTGCATTCAAGAACGCCTTTTTTCGAAAGAGCACTTTCAAAAAAAGGAGTTCTTCCTCGTGAAATGAGGAGTACCGCCGTCGAAAGAAAAGCCACGTTCTTTCGATTTAATTTCGAAAGAACGCGGCTGTAGTCTAGACGCAGGTGAAGTTTTTTCGAAAAAAGGCTACTTTTTTTGAAAAAACCCTGCAGTCTAGACACAGCCCAAAAGTGCCTTTTACCTCATGGAGAGAAACTTCCTTTTCTTTTACTGTCAAGAGAGTTTTCTTTTTAATCCATTCCAGTGACATGAACAGCTTTCAGTATCTATGTAACATTCTCGCTAAATAATATATTGTAGTCTTCTTAGTTTTCATGGTCAAGTCTCTATGTGTTGCAGCATTTCTTCCTTGCCTACTTCTCCATTTCCACAGCCCTCCATATCAGTTTCATGACTAGTTTTTCTTGCCTTGCTGACACTAAATCATTCACAGTGGTGTCTGCCTTCTCCATTCTCCTGTATAATTTTATACGTCCATTCTCCCAATGGAGGAAAAAAAACCCAGATGTTCTGTTTGTGTCTCATATTCCCCAAAATCTCCCGGCCCTTTAGGGTTAGTGCAGGAGAGATGGTTGATAGTGTTTTGTTTATAAGCCGTCCCTTCACAAATCCTAATAGTGAGGAATTTCAAAATGATGGAAATGTGTTGACATTCTCCTATGAATGAGATTCCAAGCAGTCATGATCACCCTCTGTGATACCTATGGAATTAAACAAACTTGTCCTGTACAAACAAGACTTGAGGCTTGCATTGCTGGAGGGAACATTAGTATAAAAACTGAGGCAAATGTGCCCCCTAGTGGGAAATGGAGAAAACAACACACATAATAATTCAATGCTGATTATTTCCCCAACTTTATAAGCACATTTTGTGTATCTGTAGTGTTCACTATATGCCATATATCCAAGGGAACATAAGAAGGGCCATAATGGGTCTGACTAAAGGTCCATCTAGCCCAGTATCCTGTCTTCCAACAGTGTCCAATGCCAAAGGGAGTGAACAGAACTGGTTATTCATCAATGATCCCTCTCCTGTCACCCATTTCGAGCCTCTGACAAACAGAGTCTAGGGACACTGTTCCTACCCATCCTGGCTAATAAATTCATGTAGGATAGGTCCATCAATAATTATCTAGTTATTTTTTGAACCCTGTTAAAGTCCTGGTCTTCACACATCCTCTGGCAAGGAGTTCCACAGGTTTTCCTTCCTAAACGGAGCACTTTACGTTTGTCTTTATTAAATTTCATCCTGTTTACCACTTGTTATACCTTTCCAGCAGGATTGTGAACCATTAATAACTACTCTCTAAGTACAGTTATCCAGCCAGTTATGCACCCACCTTATAGTAGCTCCATCTAAGTTGTATTTGCCTGGTATATTGATAAGAATATCATGAGAGACCGTATCAAACGCCTGACTAAAGTCTAGGTATATCACATCCACTGCTTCTCCCTTATCCACAAGATTCGTTATCGTATCAAAGAAAGCTATCAGGTTGGTTTGACATGATTTGTTCTTTACAAATCCATGCTGGCTGTTCCCTATCACCTTGCCACCTGCCAAGTGTTTACAGATGATTTCCTTAATTACTTGCTCCATTATCTTCCCTGGCACAGAAGTTAAACTAACTGGTATGTAGTTTCCCGGGTTGTTCTTACTTCCATTTTTACAAATGGGCACTATATTTGCCCTTTTCCAGTCTTCTGGAATCTCTCCTGTCTCCCGTGATTTTCCAAAGATGATAGCTAGAGGCTCAGAGACCTCCTCTATCAGCTCCTTGAGTA